CGACCCACCGGAGACATTTGGTGGGATCGAGTGTCCGGAATTAAATTCGACAAATGCGAGAGCGATCATTAGGGACCAATCGTCGCGCCACGCCGAGAAAGCGTCGCTCGTTCGTTCCCCTTGGAAACTAGCCTAATCTCGTTTAGATTCTCGTTCCAGACGAGCCTACAAGCCGACAAGCAGTCTGCGAGCGAAGAGCGGTTCTCCCACGACGACGCTTCCAAGATGGATTCCCCACACGTTTCCGTGACAGCGTGTCTTCTTGTCGATTGAGGATCTGCCATAAATCTTTATGACAGATCCCGGCATTCTTTGCTCCTCTTCTCTCGCGAGAACATCGTTCGACTTCGCTTTAACGGACGCGTCGATTCCTCGAGCGAATTTTAGGTTAGGTTTAGGTTCACCCTTCACGCGAATTTTATATACAGTTTCAGTTATTAATGAAATTATTTTAGCATTGTTTCAAGATTCAAGATCAAGTAGTGTGGCAGGTCGTTGAATTCGTTTCGACGTCAGCTTCAACGTTGTCGAGTCAAAAAATATGTAACGACGTACGTTTAACCTATTAACCCCTTTGCGCTGGCAACTGGTTGACGGACCATAACGAGTGACCGTATACAACAATTCGTTCCTTTTCGAACTCGTCGGTATGACATCATTGGATAGAAATTATTACTAAAAAGTAATGAATAAATTTATTATTTGTTTTGCCTGGGTTATATTTAAATATATTTAAAACTGAGAAAATATATTGTAACTTTGGGATAAAAAATTCTCGACGTCAGCTTCAACGTTGTCAAGTCAAAAAATATGTAACGATGTGACGTTTAACCTCTTAATCTCTTGCGCTGGCAACTGGTTGACGGACCATAACGAGTGACTAAACCGTATACAATTCGTTTCTTTTGGAACTTGTTGGTGATTATTTTCTTATATTATTTTATATTTTCTTAATAATTAATAATTATTTGATTACTAATTATTCAATCAGTAATTACCTTCACTTTGATTTTCAGAATCTCAACGTCCCACTCGTTCGCGTGATTATCAGAAATGAAAAATATTTTGGATTCCAGAGTTTCAAGCTTCCTTATTTCACAGAAAAAAAGAATTGACTTTTGGTCATAAAAACACGGTTTTCAGATCACTACCAGATTCAGATTAACTCGATCCCTTTTGAGACGAACATGCGACAGAAAGTCGATTTAATTAAAAGTTAAACAAAATTTGACAACGTTCTTTTTTAACGTTATTTTTTAGTTTAGTGTCTTTGATAACTTTTAATCTGTTTGAACAGGGGAATATTTTCCTCGCGTGAAAATTATTAAATTATGGTTAAACGATAACGTGATACAGCTTGAACAACTGGTTACAGATAATTACGAGGTCTCTCTTAATTCATTAATCTCAATTCCAAGCAAAGATCAGGCTTCAGTAGCTGTCAGCGTCACTTCCGAGATGTGAATTATTCACGAATTAACAAATCCTTATCAAATTCCAACTGCGATAATCTACGATCTGCATGGTTTATCGATCATCTTCTCGTTCATCTTCAACAGAGACAGATTTCAAACAAGGAGTAGTGCGTTCTTGTAATTTAATTAATTAACAAATCTTCGTTCAAATTCCTATGCAATAATTTACAATCTATTAGGTTGTGTAATAAGTTTGTTCGCACCATCAATGATGAAATTAATACGTATTGCCTTTGATTGATTATTCTTTACAAATGAATCAAGTAACTTTGTATGTTTCCTCTTTCTATCAAAAAATTTCTTGTATATAATACTTCTACGTTCTTTCAATTATATAATTATTTTCATAACATCCTTTTTGTATGAAAATAATTGACATTTCAGTGTCAAAATTCTTGTGTTAAAATGATTAACATTTCAATAAACTTAAATTGTTTATCAATTGCATGTTTTCTCTAGTAACAAATGATTCTTTGGATATTTTCAATATTGTATATTATATATTCAACATCATATTAACTTACAAATATTTACAGCTATTCTTTCTATTTGCAATTATATAGTAATGTATTCAATGTGAATGAATTATGCATTTTCCATACAGACTTTTAATATCCTCAAAAAGAATTAACACCAAGAGGGCAAACGAATTTACAACACGACCTAATTTATAGTTCATCCTCAACAGAGACAGATTTCGAACGAAGAGTAGTTCTTTTTTTTTTCTTTTAATTTAATTAGTTAACAAGTCCTCATCAAATTCCACATAATTTGATACAATCTTTTAGGTTAGGTTTAGGTTTGTGTAAATAAGTTGGCTGCAATGATGAAATTAATGCGTATAACATAATTAATTATCCTTTACAAATAAACAAAGTGGTCTTGAAGGGCTTCTCTTTTTATCAAGAAATTTCATACCTGCAATATGTGTATTTCTTTGAATTATATAATTATTATTACCATCATTTTTTCGTGTCGAAATTAAGATTAACATTCGATACCAATAATATCAGCAGTGCAGCGAAATATTTCGTTCATTAACTCAATAAATATTTCCTCGAGTAACAAATGATTCCCTTGAATATTTTCAATATTGTATCCTCAATTTCGCATTATAGCTGAAACATTCACACATAGATACACGATGGAAACGCAACGTATCATTGCACAACGAATTTATTACACAATCTAATGCATTCAGTTCATCTAATCCGCTAGTGCGTTCGTGCAATTCGTCTCGTCGATCTTACTCGTTGCGAGGGCTTTCTAGGTCGGTAAAATTATTCGACACGGCGAATAAATCTGTAAAGAGGATCGATCTGCACGGCGGAGAGTAAGGATCGATCGGTCCAGGGACTTTGGCCGATGTTGGTCGATTTTCTCATTTCCTTTCCGGCCGCATACGCGATTCGTTTCACGGTTTATACCTGGCCCCGGTAATTGAGCGATTCGATGCTGTACGAGTGGCCGGTCAAAGTTGCATTACCGATACCAAGAGAGAGAGAGAGAGAGAGAGAGAGAGAGAGAGAGGGAGAGAGAGCCTTCAAAGCGCTTCCCTCCCGCCGAATCTTATCTCGCGGAGTGGACGTCTTGACGGGTTCCCTCTTATCCCGTCTAATCTTTGCCAGAGTTATTACGTCTCTGCGAAACTTCCTTCGAACCGTCCTTTCTTTTCCCTTCTTTTCTTCCCTGCTATCGTTACCGTTCGAAGATTTCCTTGAGAAATGGTTCTCCTTTCAGGTTATGTCGAACTTCAGGACGTTCCGTCAGGACGTTCGGTGGTCGCAGTGGCTAGTTTTAACAGAGACGAGAATTTATGTTCTCTCTCTCTTTCTTTCTAGGTTAGTCTATGAAATTCATTTATACCAACAATACTTCTTACCTTTTTTTTTTTTCAAGTGTTGGTCACTAAGTGTACCGACACTCTATATCGCTGCCTGGTCGAACGAAATAAAGGTCTTTTTACTTTTAGACAGCGAGAAAAGAAATGATACATTTTTTTAACGAGAGTCAAGCACAGAATTTTAAATTAAATTTTTAAGCCGGCCATTTGACCGGGCATTGTGTTATAAATTATGTTCTTTTCTTTAGGTAGCAGAGGGTTTATGGAATTCAATTATATCAATGATCTTTTTTTTTTTTAAGTATACAGGGCCGGTTATGAAACAAAAATCTTTTTACAAAGAGAATACATGTGATTGTCAATTCAATATATACACAAAACAGAGCGAATAAGAATAACTTTTGGACAATGAGAAAAGAAATAATTTTCGTTCCTTTTTTAACAGGAGTCAAGCATTCAGGGAATTTTAAGTCAAATTTTTAAATAGATCTTACCTGACCAGGCTGACCAGTGTTAAAAAAAAAAGTTCCAAATTTCAGGAACGTGCTCGCTGAGACAAGGAAGCAAATCTTAATAAACATGGATCCAGAAACCATTAGTTTCCGAGTTATGAGACGCTTTCGTCGTTGAGATATTATCCTCGCAGCATAATGTTCGATATGTTCATGGATACGCGCACGTATGTTGAAAGATCCCCGGCATTTCTCTCATCACGTGGCAGGAATTTCCAATACAATGCTGTAATATTATAAGGCGACAAAGTACGTTCTTCTGATTAATTGTAAGATTACTGAACGACGTCAATACGTACGTTTATTCATATGTACTTCTTTCGATTAGTTGCAGATACAGAGTAGGATCTACAGTGGATAAAAAAAAAATGGCACACCTGTGAAAACAAATGATACGCTAGCAAAATCTATTTCTGTAAATAGTTTAATGTCCAAACTTTGCCAGTGTGTTCTACACATAGAAATAAGGCTAAAATGTCACGTGGCGAAAAACCCATAAAATATATGATATTAATTTATTAAACGTGTGTATATATAACAAAAGTATGAAACGCAAAGCATGCGTTGTTTGTCAACTCTATCAAAGTTTTTCACACGCAGTTTTGACCCTTCCAGTCAATTTGTTTCGTGCAAATAGCAAATGCTTGTGTAATTGTAAATTTTTGCTCTTAAAGATGGTGAATGCTTTTCCACAAGTAGAAATCTGAAGATGCAAGGTCTGATGGCCTAGGAG